GCTCCTTATATATTTTGGAAATCAGTCCTCTGTAAGATGTGGGATTGGTGAAGATCTTTTCCCATTCTGTGGGTGGTCGTTTTGTCCTACTGACTGTTTCCTTTGCCTTGCAGAAGCTTTTCAGTTTCAGGAGGTCCCATTTATTAATTGCAGACTTCAATGTCTGTGCTACTGGCGTAATGTTCAGGAAGCAGTCTCCTGTGCCAATTTGTTCAAGGGTAATTCCCACTTTCTCTTCTAGATAGATCCATACCTGTCACATGCACAAAACTTAAGTGCAAATGGATCAAAGATCTCAGCATAAATCCAGCCACACTGAATCTTCTAGCAGGATAGGTTCTTAAGGAACGGTGAGCACATGGGAAGCCTTCTCTCTCTGGCCTCGCTGCTCTGCTGCCCCTAGCGAGCTCTGGCTTGTGGTTGGCTGGTATTTATCTCAATAAAGATATCTTGACCTTACGGACTATGGATCATCTATTGTGGTCACACAATAAGTAGAAGCAATGGACACAAGCCTAGTGGGCAAGAAAATGTAAATGGACCCCCTATTCTCATGTTTTTCCCAAGCTATGAGCCTTCTGCTTTTCTATACTTCTGGAGAACCACCAAGACTCAGTCTTTCTATGCACAGGCTGGACCTGAGGTAGAACTCTAGCATTCCCAGTAGCTTTCAGGGAGTTAGACTGAAGAAGAGTGTTATACCCAGAAGGTCTAAAGTAAGAAACCTTATGTTATAATTGAAAGGGAGCAGGATTGTAAGAGCCAGTGGTTTAGGGAGGACTGGGGCAAAATAGTGTTTTATGTGTATGAAAGGACCATCATACTCATGAATTCATATGACTGTGGTTCTCTGCACAAGACCTACACAAGATCAAGCCAATCAACATTTTAGCATAAATTGGGAGGGGCATATGAGCTCCTCCTTCTAGCTGAGGAGGTATTGGCAATTGATGGCTGCTGGGGAAGAGGAGTCAGTTTTCTTTAGGTGTGTGGTCCCTTGTTAAACATGCCGCAGAGCATGGCTGAACACCCATACCCATGGGAATGTGGACAACAGTAATTGGACCCTGGACTATTTTGTTTTAAAAAGAAGACATGAAGTAGAGAGGGAGGACATGGAAGGATACGGGAATCTAGGAAGGGTTAAATATGATTGACATACATTATACACGTGTATGAAATTCTCCAATAATAAATAAAAATATTACTGATGGCTCAGTGGTTAAGAGCACCAACTGCTTTTCCAGAGGACCCAGCACCCAGATGGAAGCAAGCTCACAACTGTCTGTCACTGCAGTCCCAGGGATCTGACATCCTCCTCTGGCTTTTGTGACCACTGCCTGTGTATGGTGAACAGACACACATGCAGGCAAAGAATCCACACACAGAAAATAAAATGAAAGCATTATTTAAACGGCTTTCTCATACAATATATTTTGATGGTATTTTTCTCTGCCTCCCCAAATCCTCCCAGAGCCTTCCTGCCTCCCTACCTGAACACCTTTATGTTCTTCCTCTCTCTCTTTCAAACCAAAAAAAAAAAATGAAGATCAAAACAAAAAGCCCCATAATACAAAAAAATGCCCAAACAAGAAAAAATTAAACAAAATGTGGCATAAATACGCACAGTGGAGTTTGTTTTGTATCAGCCAACTACTCCTGGGCTTGGGACCTGCTTTAAGCTGTGGTTTCCTTGGAGTCATCCACCAACCTCTGGCTCGTACAATCTTTCTACCTCCTCTTCCATTTAGATCACTGAGCCTTGGGGAAAAGGGTTTGGTGAAGACATCCCATGTAGGACTGAGTATTCCAACATCTCTCACGCTGTGCACACGGTCAAGTGTGGGTTTCTCTATTCGTTTCTATCTACTGCAAGAAGAAGCTTCACTGTTGTGGGTTGAGTGAGGCACAGCTCTGTAGGTATAGCAATATGTCATTGTGGTTTCTTTAACATTATGCTTTTCAGCAAAATAATAGTAGTAAGTTGGCAACTATATTAATGTATGTATTAACAAAAAATTCCTTACAATAGAGATGAAGAAACTGAAACTCTAGATCAGTAAATTTGCCAAGATCACTGCAAATTATTGGCTAAAGCCAGGCCAGAACTAAAGATTCTGACGCCTGCTATAATCAACCACAAATATGAGATGCCTTCTTTAAGAGACAATTCAGTTAGAGGAGCCCAACTACAGGAGAGAATATGGTCACATAAAAGCCTGAACTTTTCCATGATCATTTGAAACATATTTTTGGTAACCATCTGGAGTAGTATAATAATCGTAACCCCTATATTCCACTACCAAGTATCAATAGCTGCACATACTTCATGCATTTTATAGAGAAAGCAGGAGGGTATAATAGAAATACTGCTCCACTGGCAATTAGACAGTGTTCCAGACTAGGACCAGTGAGCACAAAAAATGAAAGGAATAGGATGTCCTCATGAGAGTCTAGAAGACCCTGCCCCCATAGTCAAACACCACAAAGTCCTCAATGAGATCACCATGCAATAGGTTCTCCAATAGCCATTTGCAGATCAGGGATCTAGGCTCAAGTTCACTTTTCCAGACAGCAGGATGGTGCTGGGTGTCACTGCTGACTCTAGAACACATCCATTTCTTCATGAGTGAAATGATTCATGGTGGCATTCTTGAGACGGTAAAGTGAAAATCCACAGATAAAGTGAAAGCCACCATTATCAAATAGTATCTTATTTTAAGGAAACTCACATTTTACTTGTTATTACCTGCTATCATAGAACACTCTTAAGAATTCAGATAATGAGCTGCTTCATTCATGAAGCCAAGATCAAGAGATTGCAAGGGCCAAGACCGAAGTACTGCTTGGGTCTCCCCGCTCAGCTCAGCCATTTCACTGCCAAGTTCTTAAAAGAACTCAAGTAATATGTTTCATACTTACTCAGGCTCAGAATCAGAAAGAACATGAGTACTGCATATTGTCTTGTCTGTGTTTCACGAGAAAGCGCCTGTGATTTCCAGTTTCAGTGTCATCTAGGACTCTGGTAAGAACTCAGAAGCCATGAGAATGGACTGTATAAAGAAGAGCATCATTTGTGACATTTTGGGTTTCAGAACAGGCAATGATCCAACTCCCATTTCCCAAAGAATGACTGCTGTGAGGCATGGCTGAGTGAGAAGCTAGCAATGCAGCCACGACCACAGCTATGTGCCACCCAGACACTGCCCATGTGCATGACTTACACCCCAGGCATGACTTTGACTTTTGCGGGGTCTCTGGTCTGCATTCTTCTGAGACCAGATGACATTCCCTATTATTTGAGATATTTATGAACAATACTCATAAAATGCCATGATGAGGTATAGAAGCTCTTGATAGCAGGGTCAGCTTATCCACACCTGCTCTCTTAAGTCGCCTGTAAGTCCCTGTGCCTTGGTTTCTTTAGAAGCAAAACAGAAACTCTGTGCTGTCCTGCCTCTGAGGGGAGTGGTCAGGATCAAGGGACAGGATTTGCAGAAAGCTGGGTGGCAGGGAGGCAAAACTTCAGCCTACGCTCAAATGCCCTTGTGTGAATTATGTTCTCCGGGATTTGGGCGAAATTCAAAATGGGCATGTTATGACACCTGCTGTGGCTCATATCCTGGGTCTTGCCAACACACTCAGGGAACAGAGCTGAAGAGGATCCAGCTGCCCCTTCTCATCCTACACAAGCATTTCAGAGCTTGGCCTTACACTGTTTAGATCCTTCCATTCACTGAATTCAAGAGCCCACATGCCCGCTCAGCTGGAGCAATCAGCTCAAGATGGTCTGATGCTGTGTCCAACACTGAATAACCCTGGGGGAAGTGCCAGGGTCACTCCAGGGGACAGAACAGGGAGGCTGCGACTTAGGTACTCACCACTGAGACACACTGGATTTCCTTTCCTCTGCTTCCAGACACTGCACCCCTTCCTCACTTCTACACTTTCCTCTGGGGGACCCTGGGGTGTTTACTTCATCTCAGTGGGTTCAAAGCAGCTTCAGGTGGTGGGAGGGGATGGCTTAAAAAGCCAATCAAGGCAAAAGCTTGGAGAGTGACCTTTGCACAGAACACTGCAGAGTCTGAGGTCTTCAGAGACGGTCGGAATGGTTTGCATTTGCCAATGTCTATTTGTGAAAGAACAATGTGAATGTTAAGCAGAGTCCCGAGGCTCGGGAGTAGACTCCAATAGACTGACTATGGCTGAGAATGTTACCAGGGTAAAACGAAGAGCTGAATTTCACCTTCTTGGGTCTGCATTTAAGAGACAAAGGACATTCAGACAACCTCATCTGTCTGACAAGCCTCTCAAAGACCAATAGAAGGCAAACTAAACTGAGAGAAAATAAGGGACTTTAGTCCAGAATTACAGGCAAGTTTGTTTTAGTGAGCCAAACTGAGATCACAGTTGAGTGACTTAGGTCCACCTTACTGGCCCTTTACACAACCAAACCACTACTGCTTACCCATCTTGGCCTGTGTCTAAGTCTTTTTCTTAGATTAAATATCTCACTTGATCTTGACAACAACCCCCATGATATCCGCATCTCAGGTTTTATGGGAGGGAGTTACATTCATCTGCTAAGGCTACCGTAGCAAACTACCACACATGGGGGAGCGTAAACACAGAAATTTTTTGTCTCAGTCCTAGAGGCTGGCTAGAAGTCCCAAATCAAGGTGTTGGCAGGTCTGGTGTCTTCTGAAGTATCTGTTCTCCTCACATGACCTCTCTATGTACACATGTCCATCTGAGTTGCCCTTTCTCGGGTCCAAGTTTACTTTTTGGAGGGGAGGGAAGTAATTCTGAGGATTGAACCCAAGGCTTTAGTCATACTATCCAAGTGCCTTACCACTGAGCAATGTGTTCAGCCCCATTTCTACATATTGTTTTACTTTGCAGCAGAGTCTCACTAAGTTGCCCAGGCTAGCTTTGAACTCACTCTGTAGACTAGACAGGGCCTCCTGCCTCGGCCTCAATGCTATCTAGGGTTATGGGACTATCTCTTCCTCTTCCTTGAAGTCAAAATGGGTCAGAACTCACCATCACAGTCTCTTTTAACTTAATCACTTGTTTTTAAATTAATTTTATTTATATGCTTAAATACTTGAAAAACTACTAATAAACCTAATTATGAAACTCTACATTTTTATTTGCTGAGCCAAAACAAGTCATTAAGTAAGCTTATTTTCACTGTTACTACTATAAGGGGATATCTCGTGTGTCATCAGAAACTGTTACTTTCTTGGCTCCAGTGAGCATGGAGCCCAGCAGGAGAATCTAAGCTCCATTCTGACTGTTTCAATCTCAGAGTTTATGGAAACCGATCAGAAAGTTTAATTGGCGATGTCTGATTTTTACTGATATTCTTAACATTGACCTCTGCTGCCTCACATTTAATTATGATGTAGTTAAACCCTAATTTCAGTTCCTACACCAAATGAGTTGGGGTGTATGAAGGTGGATTTTCTTTTGCTTTGTTTCTTACATTTATTTAACTTACCCTGCGCAGCATTAGGTTTCATTCTGGCATTTTCTTTTCTAATCATAATATTTTTATGAATTCTTTAAGAATCTCATAGATGTGTAAAATAGATTTTGGTCATATTCAGACTCCACTCTGCCTCATACTCATCCAAGATCTCCTCCCCTCTCGACCCCCTCCTGACTTCATATGTTCTTTAATTCTAGCATTCTCAAGCTAAATTTGTTTTTATTGATTCCACCCTATCACCTTCTCCCCAACCCCTCCCACTCTCTCTGCTCTTGTACGGCTTCCAACCAACCGCCATAGTCCCCTTTTTGTTTTCATGTCACTTGTGCCCTATTGCCCCTACTTTCCTCAACACCTTTACCTTCCCATGCCCGCAAGCTTGTGGATATGCTTTGTAATTTCATAATCTATACCCAAGCTCAATCCCGCTTATATAAAGTATGAAAAGCTAGGATGTATGTGAAAGAGAACATGAGATTTTCATCTTTATGAGTCTGAGTTACCTACTTTTCAGATCAATTTACTTTGCTGCAAATTTCATTTAAATTTTCTTTGGATCTGAAAAAAATCCCACTGTGTATCTACATCACAATTTTTAAATTATCTGTTCTTCTGTGACAGACATTTTGGCTGCTTCTATTTTCTTGCTGTTATGAATATTGCAGCAACAAAAATGGATGTGCAGGTAGCTATCAAGGGATTTTTGGTAGCTATAAAGCTATATCACAGGAGTGATATATGTAGTAGTAGCTGGGTCATATAGTAGCTCTGTTTTTAAGTTTTTTGAGAAACCTACTGATTTCCATAGGGGGCTATACTAGGTTGCACTCTCGCCAGCAATGATTAGAGATTCCTCTTTCTCTGTACCCTTACCAACATGTGTTGTTGTGTCTTACAGATAGTCATATGGGTGAGGTTAGATGGAATATCAAAGTAGTTTCAATTTCCATTTCTCTGATGGCTAAGGATATTGAACACGTTTTATAATTGATTGTTGCACGGGGTAAGAGATATGGACTTATTTTTATTCACCTACTGGCAGTTTCCCCAGGATTATTTGTTGAAAAGATTCTCTTTTCTTCCAGTGTATGTTGTTGACACATTTGAAAAAAACCTAGGTGACCATAACTGTGTCAACTTATTTCTGTGTCCTCCCTTCTGTTCTACTTGTCTACATGTCTATTTTTGTGCCAGTACCAAGCTGCCTCAGTCACTATGGCTCTTTAGTATAGTTTGAAGTCAGGTGTTGTAATACATCCAACTGTGTTCTTCTTGTTAAGGATTGTTTTGTCTATCCTTAGTTACTTCCTTAAAGGCCTGTATGTTAGTCAGTTTTCTATCTTTATACTAAAATACCTGTGAAATATCAATACATGAAGAAGGTTTATATTGGCTCACATTTATGAAGGCTTAGACTATGGTTGATTGGCCTCATTATGTGGGGCCTATAGTGAGACAGCACATTGTGGCAAGGGTACTATGGTATAACAAAGCTGCTTACCTCATAGTCAAGATGCCAAAAAGAGTGGGGAGTGGGCTGGGATCTGTCCCACAGTTGTAACATGAGGTTTTCTGCCCAATTCCACAGCGGCCTCAGAACCCCAGATAAATACTTGTACACTATATTAGTTATGAATACTGTTGGCCTTTAGCTAAGGTTTCTTATTTGCTAGCTCAGTCTTAATTATTAACCCATTTCTAATAATGTAAGTATTTCCATGTGGTGGTCTTCTCTTAATAGAGGAAAGGTCTGGGCCTCTTACTCCCTTGGGGTCTACATCGCGTCTGCTCAGCATCTCAGAAGAGAAGAGAAAAAAGAGAAAAGAGAAGAGAAGAGACGAGAGGAGAAGAGAGGAGAGGAGAGGAGAGGAGAGGAGAGGAGAGGAGAGAAGAGAGCAATTTCCTGCTTATCCCTGCTTATATACTGATTCTGCCCTGCTACATACGTCACTTCCTGCCTGGATCACATGGTGATTTCTCTTTACTACATTTTCCAGAATCCTCCTTGACTTCTAGTAACACCTATCTTGCTTCCCTATTGGCCATCAGTGCTTTATTCATCAACCAATAAGACAAACATATACACAGAAGAACATTCCCCATCACAGTTGCTTTCAAAGGCATTCTCCCAATTACCTGGAGACCTCCAGTAGGTACTTCTAACTAGTACCACCCTGGGAACCAAACTTTCTACAAGTAGGGCTTTGAAGGTCCCTCAAGGTAAAAACACAAGCAAGGCCCTAAGTCTAAATAATTACAATCTTAGCTACTGGGATTAAGGATTCATATAAATTTATAGATGGTACAATTCAGCCCGTAATAGGGACACTGAGGTTCACAGACATGAAATAACTCAATTCAGCTCACCATACATGACAGAGCTGGTGTCCCAGCATAGGCCTATATCATTTCACTGTGTAATTCTAGAACCTGGACCCAAATATGGCAAAGCTAAAGGAGCACTGGGTAACTACTATTGGCTAATAGTATATCCTGGCACCCCCAGAGCTGAAAACAGGGCTTAGAGTGGAGGTCTCCAATATTCCCTTGAGGGCTACTCATCTTTCTAATTATATATTTGCTTATGCACATCATTCTGGAGGCCTTCTGCTGTCATTACTGGGTTTCATGACACATGGTCGGTCATAATAATGACTTATGGGATACTCAGTCCTTGATCTTCTAAGACTCCCAGTTATAACATTATTCTTATAGGT